CCCCAGCCTCCTGCCTGGCCCCTGCAGTGCTGTCTGAGCTCTGCTTTCTAGCTCACCCCCCACCCCGGACACTCACACTCCCGAGACCCCGGCCTCTGGCTTTAGCCTTCCAGCATCAGCTCCCCTAGTAAGTGCCTTCTGTGTCCGCCCTTGTACCCCAGGTCCTGAGGACCCAGACCCTGGGTGGGAGACAGATGTTATGGCAGGGTATGGCTGGGAACTGCAGATCTGTCCTCCTGGTGAGTCCAGGGTCCCCTGGAGCCTGTGGAACCCCACCCTGGGGTGCTGCCTGCCTGCCTCTTTCCCAGGGAGCCCCAACCCCCATTGGGCCCAGGGATGCTGGTCAGGCCGTCTGTGCTGACCGTCCCGTTCCACACAGGCCCTGCCTTGGCAGCTTCCACCCCCTGCCTCCACCCTCTGAGCTTTGCATGTTCCACTAACACAGGCAGGCAGCAGGCGGAGGTGCCAGGCTGCCAGCCACCTCTGTGAGGGCAGAACACTAACCTGACCATGGGCGGGGCCCTGCGGCATCCGCCCCCCAATAAAAGCAATTCCAATCTTCCTGTGGGTCCTGCCTGGTATTTTTGTCCTGGGGTCAGATGTGTGTGGGGAGCACGGTGGGCACGAAGCCCCAGACGCCAGGCTCAGAGCCCAGCCACTGTGTCCTATCTACGGACGAACATCCGCAAGCAAGAGAAACCAGGCTTTGACTGGAGGGCTGCAGATCGCCCCCCGTGCAGAGGATACAGTAAAGGGCAGAGCTGTTCCTGGACATTCCCGCCCCCTGCTGCTTATCAGGTGATGACTGGTTCTCAAGCCTGCCCTCTGGACTGAGCAGTAGTTGGCACTTGAGGAGCTCCTATTTCTTCATCTGAGGCTGGAGTCTTTCTCCCGAGTCACTGGATGTGGCCCCCCTCCCTCCCCAGGAGGGAGCAGCATGGCCCCTGGCTGGGGGCAGCCTTCCAGAGAAGGGTGAGACTCCGCAGCTGCTGCAGAAGCTGCCAGGCAGTGCCAAGCACCAACAGCCTCCACCACAGTCCACACCTTGCCTCTCAGGCCTCCTTGCTCCTCACTCTGATGTTACTCCACCCGGACTGGGCTTCTCCAGAGTTCTGAGTGGTTGCAGTTTCTGGGAAAACAAGAGGTGGGGGAATGGGCGTAGCCCCAGTCCTTGGCAGCTGCTGGCCTCAAGGCCGTGACTGATCCGCACGTCCCTCCTCTGCTGCCAGGGCCACCCCGACCCTCTCCCTGAGGGTCTGTCTCCTGGTCCCCGTGTACTTGCTGGGCTCTGTTCTGGCCCATTTACACGTCTTCCTCCTTGGCCCTGTTGGGTAGGCAATTGGGTCAGCCCTGCCGAGTGGGGAGTGCTTTCCCTCATCAGCTGGAACAGGAATGGCCATGGCAGGCAGCCCACAGCTGTTGAGTGGGTCATCTTTTCACTCTATCCCAGGTGGCAATGTTTTTCCTCTGGGGACCAGAACCTCTGAACCTCTGCATCCCTGCAGGTTTGTTCTTTTGTGGGGGTTGGGGTCCCACTCTGTTACCCAGGCTGGGGTGCAGTGGCCTGGTGATGTCCACCGCAGCCTCTACCTGCTGGGCTCAGGCAATCCTGCCTCAGCCTTCCAAGTAGCAGGAACCACAGGCATGCACCACCCTGCCCGGCTTATTATTTTATTTATTGTAGGGACCAGGTCTCACCACGTTGCCCAGGCTGGTCTCGAATCCCTGAGGCAATCCTCTTGCTTCGGCCTCCCAAAGTACTGGGATTACAGGCTTAAGGCGCCGTGGCCTGGCCACCCCTGCAACCTAAAGTTATAGGGGCAAGAAGCATATGTCCCCCAGTGGATCCCTGGGAAGGTGGTGGGTGGTCACTTCTACCCCTTGGTTCCCAGAGCCCTGTGGTCTCCTATGGGGCCACTGACTTAAGGTAAAAGCCACATCCTGAAGAAGAGGGCCACCGTCCTACAAGGTCAGCACCAAGACAGCATAAACTGCACTTTCTGAGAGATTCCCTGATTCTGCAGAACAGCAGCTTCCAGCACATGTGGTGTCCATGGTCCTGCAACTCCTGCTGCATTTCCTTGTCCTAAGCAGGATTTGAGATCTGTATACAGGAGCCCCTCCCATAAAGCAACACTGAGACTATAGAGGCAAGCTCATACCCAGAATGCAAGTCTTTGCCTTTCCAAAAAGAAGGAGCTCCAGGGCTCAATTTTCCACCACATCACCAGTTAATCTCTGACTGGTATTGCATCAGGGCTTTAGTGCTGCCTCTATAAGAGGAGCTGCTTCCTGGGGGAAGGGCACCATATTGCCAGTCCAGCACCTGGCCCCATCTCTGCTCTTCAGCTGCTCTGGGTAGAAACTTTGTGGGAGCACCAGGTACTGGGTGACTGGTACCTGCTGGCCACATCATCAGTCCATGGGTGGTTTGGTGCCTTCTCTGTAGTGGGTGTTCCTGGTAGACATCCAAAAGCCTCCACAACAGTCTCAACCCAGCACCTCCATTACCCAGTCTTCCAACTGTGATCCTCTTAGGCCTGAGTAACTCCAGCTGAGCAATTCCTGGCAGCATCCACACGTGCCCTTGCTGTGAGCTGCTTTTCCTTCCATGTGAGGCTCAGGCCGGAGGTTGCCCTACTCCAACTCCAGAGCCAGCCTGAACAGAGCTGTCATCTGTTTTGGGCCCAACCTACCATGCCCCCCATGAAACAAGCCATGCGTGTCCTTCCACCCAGTCACAGGGAACCTCTGAGGCCATGGCGTGACAGTGGCAGGTGAGCTGGGGACTGGCCACCTGCTCTTGCAGCCCTCTGGCCTTCAAGACCTGTGCCTGGTGTGCACCCCTATTACCCTGGATTCTTGCACCTGCTGCCTTTATGGCTGGATGGGCCCGATGGCACTGGCTCCTGGTGGGCACTGTGGCCGCATGGTTTCCAGTGCCCAGGAGCTTCTCTGAGCAGTCTGCGGTTCTTTGCTGCAGGTGCACATCCTTGCTTTAGAACTTAAGGTCTGTGTTTCAGCTCTCTCTCTGGGCCTTGCTGGAGACCCCCACGACACATTTTTCCCTGCCTGCCACAGGTGCTTCCAGCATGAGGCATCTGCTGGGTCACTCGGCCTGAGCGGCCAAACTTTGTAACACTGCCTTGCCCGTTGTGGTGCCTTTCCTTTTTTGGGGCCCCCCAATCAAAACTGAAACTCTCCATGTCACCCAACAAATGGACTGTCATATTCTCTAGTGTGTTTCATGCTATCTTCAGAACCTAAAGAGCCTACTAGGTATAGTGCTTCTCTCTCTCTCTCTCTCTCTCTCTCTCTGTTTCTGTCTCTTTCTTTCTTTTCAGAGTCAGGGTCCGGCTTTGTCACCCAGGCTACAATCAACTTCCTGCTGCCCCAAACTTCTGGGTTCAAGTGATCCTCCTGTCTTGGCCTCCTGAGTAGCTAGGACAACAGGTGCTATTTTTTGTTTTTCTTTTTGTACAGAGTCTGGCTTTGTTTCCCAATTTGGTCTCGAACCCCTGGTTTCAAGCGATTCTCCCACCTCAGCCTCTTCACATGTCTCTGTGGTCAGGCCCCTCCTGCTGCCACTTCAACCTTCCGGCCTATGGTAGTCATGCCCTTCCCCTCTGCCTACATGCTGGCACATGTCCATGCAGGTGAAAGCTGCTATAGATGCCAGGTAACAATATTCACCTGCTACCAGAAATGAGATCCTTGGCGCCAGTCAGTGGCATTCTGACTCCAATTTCCCTCTAAGGAGTATGTTTGCTGGGGCCACACCTGGTGCCACCTGTCCCAGCATTTCCCTGGAAGTAGAGCCTGAGGTGATGATTCATCTGCATGTAGTTTCTGGAGAACTCTCAGGAAGGATGTGAGAGAAGTCGGGGGAAGGCGGGTGGGGAGCTGGCAAAGATGTGGTTTCAGCCCAAGTCTAGCCATAGCCTGATCCTATGAAGACCTCAGGAGCATGCATTACACCTCAGAGGCTCTCCTGTGCAGAGACAAGGGGTCTGGGCTGACAAGTCTCCACACCCAGCAGGCATTTGGGATGGAGCATATAATTCTCAGGCACCTCTGAATGAGGCACCTGTTGTCAGCCAAGGGCAGCGCTCTGGAGAGGGTGCAGATGTGAGTCTACAGCAGCTGGGGGATGGGCATATTAACCCCAAAATGGAATTTCAGTGGATCATCAACTGCTTTAACAGTGTCAGAGCCACAGTAGCAGCAATGTGACAGACCTAGATATCCTGAAAACTCCTCCCACTGTAAACCTCCTTGGTAAACCTAACAAATATCTTCTCAGATGCATACTTGAAGTCACAAAAAGAAAGGAAAATCCCCAGAGGTGAAAAATAGGTGGTGGCCGATACTTCCCCTGAGGAATTTGCTGGAAACCCAAAGCCTTTGCTGGAACCCAAATTCCTTGGGAAATAGAAGCAAGGACTTGGCTGTGCTCGGTGGCTCAGCCTGTAATCCCAGCACTCTGAGAGACGGAGGCGAGTGGATTGCCAGAGCTCACGGATTCGAGACCAGCCCAGGCAATTTGGCGAGACCTCATCTCTACAGTAAGTCAAAAATTAGCTGGGCGTGATAGCGCACGCCTATAGTTCCAGCTACTTGGAAGGCTGGCCTGTAGTTCTGGCTACTTGGAAGGCTGAGGTGGAGCCCGGCTACTTGGAAGGATCGCTAGAGCCCAGCAGGTCGATGCTGGGGTGCTCATGAGTGTGCCACTACACTCCAGCCTGGGCAAGAGTGAGACTCCAACTCAAAAACCATATGTGAAATCTGGATCCCAAAAGGGCTATATATATACTCAGTGAAAATGTGAACTAGAAAAACTCTAACTCAATGGCATATGGTAACATAAAGGAAACTCACTGGCTTCTATCTGGACTCTGGCAGGAAAAGCTCCCATTGGGCTTTTAATTTTAGGTCACCCTCCTGTGTGGTCTGGAGAATCTCACGCAGAAAAATAAAAACAGATTAGTTATTGCCTGGTATCCGACATGAGCTAATGTAATCTTATCTGGAGGTCTTGCCTCCAACCAACTCCTCACAGGATTCTCAGATGAGACCCCAGACTTTCAAACATGATCTCACCATCAAAAGATATAAGAGGCCGGACTGGGTGGCTCAGCCTGTAATCCCGCACTTTGGGAGGCCAAGGTGAGTGGATTGCCTGAGCCCACGGGTTCGAGACCTGCCTGGGCAACTTGGCGAGACCTCATCTCGACAATAAAAATCAAAAAATTAGCCAGGTGTTGTAGCGCGTGCCTGTAGTTTCAGCTACTTGGAAGGCTGAGGCGGAAGGATTGCCGGAGCCCAGCAGGTCAAGGCAGCGGTGGCCAGGAGAGGCCACTGCACTCCAGTCCGGGCGGCAGAGTGAGACTCCAACTCAAAAAAAACAAAACAAAACAAAACAAACAAAAAAAGATACAAGATACATGAAAATAAGTAGCATGAATAAGTGAGCATAAACAAAGCAAAATTATAACCTGAAGGACTAAGGATACTGGAATTATTCATTAAAGAATATATAATAATTATGTTTAAAATGTCTATAAAATAAAAGAGAAAGTTTAGACTGTGAAAAGCAAAATTTTATCTAAGAAGACTAAGAAGATTTTAAAGGAACTTAATAGAATTTCTAGAAGTGAAACAACATTCAAAACTCAAGGAACTGGTTAATCAGAAGATTAGTCCTAGCTGAAAAATTAGTGAATTGGAGGATCTGAAGAAATTACTCAGAATTTATCCCGGAAAGGTAAAAGATGGGAAATATGAAAGAGAGGCTAAGAGACAGAGAATATAAACAGCCTAACTTTGGTCTAATTGAAGTTTCAGTAGAAGAAATAATGGATGATAATTATTTTCTAAATGGATGAAAAACATGAATCATAGCTAAGAAGCGCCATAAAATCTGGGTGTGGCAGATAAAATATCACATCAAAACACATTGTAACAAAATTGCAGAAAACCAAAGACAAAATTCTTTTAAAGCAGTCAGAGAGAAAAAACAGACTTCCTACTAAAGGATGATTCAGACTGATAGCAGACCTCTCCCTAGCAAAAATGGAAGCCTCTTAAAGTGTGTTCCGTGTATTATTAGGAGCTTGGACATCATCCTGGAACTTTTGGAAATGCAGAATCTTGGGGTGTACCATAGACCCACTGTGGAGACAGAAGTGACATCATCTTGAATACAAATCTGCTATATTGATTTCTGATTAGCTCCAGTCCCAGGAGTGCCTACTGATTCCTACTTTGTTTAATGTCCTTGGTTTAAGAGCATGTACTCACTATAAATCTTGCCTTTAGATCAAAGCAACCTTGATGTTATTGTACAAATTATAGGCTATTGCACGCACAGCATTCTTGTCTGCTCTGGAGGGTTGCTCTTAATTGTCTATAGAGCATGTGCACCCATTCCCTATAGTATATAAGCCCTGGATCTGGAGAGTAACAGTACGGAGATCTACTTCTTTTGCTGACACTCATGACTATGCTTCTGTCTGTCTGCAAGTTCCCCCAATAAATCACCCCCTACCGACAAACTGGACTTGTCTGCCTCATCTTTAGTTTCTCAGCTCTTTCTGCATTTGGGGGCCACTTTGCATACACAACTCTTTCATGGAAAACTCATTGATCAGAATCTGCATTTTAACAAAATCCCATGTTAATGTTGTTTTCAAGCAAACTTTGAACTTTAGAATAGTTAAGATTTACAAATAAATAGTGAGACGCGTACAGAGATTTTTCATAAACTTTACATCCAGTTTCTCCTATTTAACATCTGTTTTGTGAAAGGGCCATATATGCATAGTGACCCCCAAACACGGAAAGAGCAGAAAAATCAAAAAAGGAGACAGACAAGTCCAGCTTGTAGTTACAGGGTGATTTTTTTTTCAGAGTCTATTCTTGCTTTATTGAGCACGAATAAATATTAGGAAGAAAAGCAAAAACAGAGCAGAGGCATGAGACAAAGGTAGTGGGAAGAGGTCCGTTTCAGGAGGTGAGATTGTGAGTGGGGCAGTGTGATGCCCCTGCCTTACAGGGTGACTTTATTGGGGGAACTTATGGACAGAAGCATGGTCTTGGGTGGCCACAAGACAAGTATATCTTCACATCATCACCTCCCAGACCCAGAGATTATATGCCATAGGGAAGGGGTACACATGCTTTAGAGGAATTGGGTAGGAATTTGATCTAAGGGTAGGATTTATGCTAAGTACATGCTTTTATACAAGGAACAACAGATAAACCAGAAATCTCAGAGACATGGCCAGAACCAGAGTTCATCAGAAATCAACATGGCAGATTAGCTGCCAAGATGGAGTTACTTTAGCCACCACCACATCTTATAGTAATATGATAAATTTGTCACTATTAATGAACTAATAAATTGTTATTAACTAAAATGCATTTTTTACCAGGCATGATGGCACGTGCTTGTAATCCTAGCACTGTGAGAGGCCGAGGCAAGAAGATTACCTTAGCTCAGGGATTTGAGAACAGCCCGGGCAACTAGACAAGACCTTGTTTCTACAGTAAATACAAAAATCAGTCAGGAATGGTGGCACGTGTCTGTGGTTTCAGCTACTTGGCAGGCTAAGGTGGAAGGATCACCTAAGCCCGCAGGTGGAGGCTATAGCGTTTGTGAGCATGCCACTGCAGTCCAATCTAGATGGTAGAGTGAGTCTCTGACAGAAAACAAAAAATAAAATATTCATTTTCTTCAGCTTCTCATTATTATTATTATTATTTCTAACATTCTTCTTCTATCAAGAATCTCATTCAGGCTACCACATTACATTTAGCCATCGTGTCACCTTAGGCTCCTGTTAGTTGTGACAGCTTCTCCCTTTTTTTTTGGAGTTTGATTCTGACTCCGTCACCCAAGCTGGAGTGCTGTGGCATACTCACAGCCACCCCAGCATCGACCTGCTGGGCTCCGGCTATCCTTCCACCTCAGCCTTCCAAGTAGCCAGAACTACAGGCGTGCGCTACCATGTCCGGCTAATTTTTTTACTTACTGTAAAGACAAGGTCTTGACAAGTTGCCCAGGCTGGTCTCTAACCCCTGAGCTAAAGTAATCTTCTTGCCTCGGTCTCTCACAGTGCTAGGATTACAAGCATGTGCCATCATGCCTGGTAAAAAATACATTTTAGTTAATAACAATGTATTAGTTCATTAATAATAAGTGCTGGGATTACAGACTGACCCGAGCCCAGTCAAGTTTCTCCCTTTCATTGTTCTTGCTGACAGTTTTAAAGAGTACTGGTCAAGAATTTATTTTCCCATATTAATGTTTGAGAAACATTAAGCTAAATTTATACCAAGGTTTACCATTTAAGAAAAAGATTGATTAAAGATGTCTGCTCTTTTCTGCTATTCATCCAATAAGGCAAGAAAATAAAATAAGAGGTAACAACATTGGAAAGGAAAAGGTAAAACTATATTTACAGATGATGTGACCTTACACGTAGAAAATCCTGCCCGGGAGTTCCTCCCTCCTCCCGAGCCTGTCCCCTGGCCGCCGCGCGGGAGGGAGGCCGAGATGGCAGATGAGATCGCCAAGGCTCAGGTCCCCTGGCCTGGTGGCGACACGATCTTCGGGAAGATCATCCACAAGGAAATCCCAACCAAAATCATTTTTGAGGATGATCGGTGTCTTGCTTTCCATGACATTTCCTCAAGCGCCAACATATTTTCTGGTGATACCCAAGAGACACATACCCCAGATTTCTGCAACAGAAGATGATGATGAAAGTCTTCTTGAACATTTAATGATTGTTGGCAAGAAATGTGCTGCTGATCTGGGCCTGAATAAGGGTTATCGAATGGTGGTGAATGAAGGTTCTGATGGGGGACAGTCTGTCTATCACATTCATCTCCATGTTCTTGGAGGTCGTCAGATGCAGTGGCCTTCTGGTTAAACCTGTTTGGGGGATAATTTTCCCTTCTCTAGGCAATTACCAAGTTTGCAGGTTCCAATATGTTAAGTGGCACACTTATTTTTGCCTGTGTATGGAGAGATTCAGGAAATAATTTTAAAAACCCATACATAATAATAAAGGATATTGTTGCATGTTAAAAAAAAAAGAAAATCCTGGCCAGACTCAGTGGCTCAGCCTGTAATCCCAGCACTTTGGGAGGCTGAGGTGAGTGGATTGCCTGAGCCCGCGGGTTCGAGACCAGTCCAGGCAACTTGGCAAGACCTGGTCTCTACAATAAATACAAAATTGGTATATAGTGCGCTTGTAATTCCAGCTACTTGGAAGACTGAGGCAGAAGGATCACTGGAGCCCAGCAAGTCAATGCTGGAGTGACTGTGAGCGTGTGTGCCACTGCACTCCAGACTGGGCGATGGAATGAGACTCCAACTCAAAAAATAAATAAATAAAAATTTTAAAAATTAATTTAAAAAGGGCCGAGCGTGGTGGCTCAGCCTATAATCCCAGCACTTTAGGAGGCTGAGGCGAGAGGATTGCCTGAGCCCGTGTGTTCGGGACCAGCCTGGGCAACTTGGCGAGATCTTGTCTCTGCAATAAATTTCAAAAAACAGCTGGGAATGGTGGCACATGTCTGCAGTTCCAGTTACTTGGAAGGCTGAGGCGGAAATATCACCTGAGCCCAGCAGATTGAGGTTGCAGTGACCATGAGCATGTCTGCACTCCAGCCTGGGAGGAGTGAGACTCTGACTGAAAAAACAAACAAAAGAAAGACAGTGTGGTATTAGTATTAACATAGGTCAACAGAATCCAGAAATAGAGCTATGCATCTATTGTCATTTGATTTTAACTAAAGGTACAAAGGCAATTCAATAAAGCGATAATAATCTTTTTAGTAAATTATGCTGGAGACACTAGATACCTATATGCAAAAAATGAGCTTCACACTGTGCACAGAATGTACAAAAATGATCTCAATGTGGATCACAATTGGAACTTACCACCACAAAACATCTAAAGGAAAACATAAGGGAAAAAAATCTTTGAAATTTTTGAGTTTGGCAAAGATTTCTGAAATAAACAGTAAATCATAGCCCATAGAAGAAAAAATTGAACTTCCTCAAAGTTAGTAACATATCCTCTTCAGAATACACTGACAAGAGAATAAAAAGACAAGCCACAGACTGAGAAAAAACACTTATAAATCACATAAGTTCTTTATCAGAACTTTTATTCAGAATATACAAACTCTCAACACTCAATAAAAGAAAACAACCCAGTTTTAAAATGGGCAAAAAATTTGAACAGATACTTCAACAATGAAGATATATAGATGGTGAACAGCACGTGAAAAGATGCTCAACTTCATTAGTGATTAGGAAAATACAAATTAAAATTATAATGAGGCAACCACTGTGGGAGCTTTTCTGTTCTCTCAGTAAATCCTGCTTTCTTAAAAAAAATTATAATGAGACACCATTACATAGAATGCATAAAATTTTTTAAAAGACTGACCATATCAAATGTTGGTGAGAATGTAGAGCAACTAGAATTCTCATACAAAGCTGATGGGAATATGAAATGATTCAACCACTTTGAAAAACAGTTTGGCACCTACCATGTGATCTAGCCACTCCAGTCCTAGGTATTTACCCAGCAGAAAAGAAAGTATATATCCATACAGAGGCTTGGTTATTCAGGACACGCTGATAGCAGCTTTATTTGTAACAGTCAAAAACTAGAAAGCACCCAAATGTTTATCAAAATGTGGGTGGATAAGCTGGGCACGGTGGCTCATGTTTGTAATCCCAGCACTTTGGGAGGCAGAGGGGAGAGGATTGTCTGAGCCTAGGGTGTTCAAGACCAGCCTGGGCAATTTGACAAGACCTCATCTCTACAATAAATTTTTTAAAATTAGCCGGGCATGGTGGTGAGCGCCTGTGGTTCCAGCGACTTGGAAGGCAGAGGTGGAAGGAACACCTGAGTCCAGCAGGTCGAGTCTGTGATGGCTGTGAGCATGCCACCACATACTCTGTGTAATGAATTTGAAGTCAGTAGAAAGAATGCTTGAGTTAAAATAAGGAGGGTTGTGGAAACCCAGGTTCTTATTAGGTAGACGAAGCCTTTACTAAGTAGCAGGCTTCAGAGAAAATAGTTTGATAAATGTCTCTTTGGGGGCCTTAAAAGTATCAGACTCTTCTTAGGGAAGGAAATTCTCCAGATGCAAATTTCCCTGAGAGACAGCTTTACAGGGTTATTCCAAAATATGTCAAAGAAACATATTTTGGGGTAAAGCATTTTTATTTCCGTTAGGGTCTGCTGTCACGTGATACTACACTAGAATCAGGTTGGAATTTGGTATCTTATTGCCACAGAGTCTGTTTTGTCAGTCTTATGATCTCTTTTTTAATGCTAATGCCGGTCAGTTGTGCCTAGACTCCAAAAGAAAGGCGTTATAATGAGGCTTCTTTACTGATCAAGGCCTGGAATTTAGTTTTTCGGGTTTCTCTTGGCCCAGGTGGTCTGTTCAGTCATTCAGGGGGCCGAGAGTTTTATTTTTGGTTTACACATATGTTGGAACTTAATTGAAAATAACCCCTATGATCTGGTATTTTCACAAATAGGTCTCTACTCTGAGAAAATCCCACGAACATGCACATGTTCATGTTTGCCTCATTCTTGGATTTAGGGTAAAGTTAGCACTAGTCCACGTAGCCCTAATTACTTCCAACAAGTGAGATATTCATACACTGGAATAAGCAGAGGCTAAAATTAAAAGAAAAAAGATGGAACTAAAATATCAAGGATCAGTAACATGTAAAATGGATTATGATCTGAGTTAAAACTTTCTATGCCTTTGTATTTTTCAGGAAGAGAGTAGAGATTTTAACTGACTCTGGACATTGTTAAATGTTCATATTAAAAATGTAAGAGCAACCATAAAAAGAATGGAAATATGGTATGCCTGTTAGTCGGAGTCTTGGCAGGAAGCATGGTAGCTGAGGAGAGTCTAACAAAGGGATCATTTACAGAGATGTGGGCAGGGGAAGGCTGACAGCAGGAGAGGGTGGCCAGGCAAGTTCTCAGGACCTGCCAGCACTTGTACTTGCTACATCAGGCAGATATCCTGGTGGGGAACTGCCCTTCCTTATTGTGGTAGAACAATTTCTCTGTTCTGTTTCCAAGGGTGTTTTATCTTCTGTCTGTTTACCTGGTTCTGTAAAGTCCCCAGATGACAATATTACAAATTGTATCATCAAAACAGCCGATCCTATTCGGGGAACATGCGGGTGCCTGGAAGTTCCAGAAGCCCCAGTGGTTGTCACACTTGTGCTGCCTGCAGACACAGCCGATGAGGGAGGGAGGCTGCCCCTAACTTCTGGATTCTGGGAGAGATGATTCTTCAGTGCTAGGAAGACCACGCCCTAGGCAGGGCTGGAAACCCCGGCACACATGGTCATCCACAGTTCAGAAACCAGGGCCAATGCTGTCTGTTCTCTTATGTGAAGCTGGGCCCATCTGTCCTGGACTGACGCCCTCTGGGGACTGTGCCCACTGCTGGCAGAAGGCCTGGCATGGGGGAGGCAGCTTGGAATTTTGATAGGGATTGCATTGAATCTGTAGGTCAACATGGGGAGTAAATGCCATCTTAATAATATGAATACCAGCCCAAGCGCTGCGGCTCACTCCTGTAATCCCAGCACTTTGGGTAGCTGAGGCGAGAGGATTACTTGAGCCCAGGATTTAGAGACCAGCCTAAGCAACATAGTGAGACTTTGTCTCTACAAAAATTTTTTTAGCCTGGCTCGGTGGCTCAGCCTGTAATCCCGCGCCTTTGGGAAGCTGGGGTGAGTGAATTGCCTGAGCCCGTGGGTTCGAGACCCGCCTGGGCAGCGAGACCTCATCTCTACAATAAATCAAAAAATCAGCCGGGCATGGTAGCACGCGCCTGTAATTCCGGCTACTCGGAAGGCTGAGGCGGAAGGATCGCCGGAGCCCAGCAGGTCGAGGCTGCGGTGGCCGGGAGCGGCCACTGCACTCCAGTCTGGGTGACAGAGTGAGACTCCAACTCAAAAAAAAAAAAAAAAAATTTTTTTTTAAATTAGCCAGGAAAAACAAAACAACAACAACAAAAACCAAAACGTAATCCCACGCCTTAGGAGGCCAAGGTGAGTGGATTGTCTGAGCCCGTGGGTTCAAGACCCGGCTGGGCAACTTGGTGAGACCTCATCTCTACAATAAATCAAAA